GTTGTGGGTGTCTTCTCCCAATCCGAGATTGCAGGAGATGGTTGTAGCACTAGCTTCGTCCCAATCTTCCTCCACGCCCCTGTCACCTTACCCGTCTTCGCCCAGCCTCCGCGGCTTCATCAGGGACGCCCCGCCTTACAGCACCCAGGCAACGCCGCAGGTGCAGACGGCTGGTGTCGGCGGCGGCGGCGGCAATGGGAAGATCAGCCCGGCGGTGCTGTTCATCATAGTGATCCTTGCGGTTATCTTCTTCATCTCCGGGCTGCTCCACCTCCTTGTGAGGATACTGATGAAGAAGCAGCACGGCCGTGGTGCCGCCATGGGGGAGTCTGCACCGTCGCCGCACCGGACCGGCGCGCGTGACGCGGCAATGGACCGGCAGCTGCAGCAGCTGTTCCATCTGCACGACTCTGGGCTCGACCAGGCGTTCATCGATGCGCTGCCCGTGTTCGCGTACCGTGAAATTATCGGTGGCAACAAAGAGCCGTTCGACTGTGCGGTGTGCTTGTGTGAATTTGATGCGGAGGACAGGCTCAGGCTGTTGCCGGTGTGCGGGCATGCCTTCCATCTGCAGTGTATAGATACATGGCTGCTGTCCAATTCGACATGCCCGCTTTGCCGTGGCACGCTCTTTGTCCCCGGGATGACTATAGGTAACATGCTGTTTGATGATTTTGATGAGAGGTTGGAGGAGGAGCCTCTACCGGAGGAGTGTGAGGATGGATACCAGGTTTCCAGGCACAAACCCATGGATGAGGAGCAGCCAGTGGCCGAGAAGAGGGTGTTTCCAGTAAGGCTTGGGAAGTTCAAGAATGTTGGAAATCAGGGTGCCATCGGTGGTGTGGTTGGCAATGGCAATGAAGCTGGTATAGTGAGTAGGGAGGCAGGGGAGAGTAGCAGTAGCAGTTTGGATGCAAGGAGATGCTTCTCCATGGGCACTTACCAGTATGTTCTTGGGGCTTCTGAACTTCGAGTGGCTCTCCAGACAGGTCATGGCAGAAACGGTGCAAGCAGCAGGTTCAAAGGAAGAGTTGCTGGCTTAAGTTCTGTCAATGCTGACATTATGGAGGGCAAGAGGATTTGTGCGAGGAGCAAAGGCGAGAGCTTCTCTGTGTCGAAGATTTGGCAGTGGTCTAATGTGAAGGGCAAGCTGCCAGCTCCTCCAGACACTTGCTCAGATACAGGGAGTCTACCATGGATGAAAAGAAATGCTGCTGGAGATAAGTCTAATATGTGACTCTGTCTATAGTTCTTTGTTTTTTTTTCTGCCTGATGTTGGCTGCTAAGTTGCTTAGCTCTAGCTATTTCATCTGATTTAGGGTGTCTCAACAATCATTCATCAAGGGATAATTTTTGACAGGCTTGCTATAATGCACATAGTTTGTGATTGTTCACAATGGTGTAGTCTATATTCCTGTGTTGTTGGTATTCCAGAAATTCCATTCAGAAGCTTATCATCACTATGAAGTATCAATTTATACTCTATTTGTGTTATCGATTCTTCAATTTCCTCCTTGAATGTAAGTATGTAACTATCAAACATGAGATAATATTAGTATTAGCCTACAATGTGATATATGTCTAGACCATTGCAGTTATTAATCTGCAACTTCCTTAATAAACTTTCTATTAGTTATTACAGTAGCATTTTCAAGGTCTGAATGAACTTGACCATGGCAGCCCTTTTTTTTTTTTTTTTTTTTTTTTTTTTTTTTTTTTTTTTGCAAACTGTGTAGAAGTATTATTATGGTTATAAGTTGTTAGAAGGATGGCACATACATTGGTAGTTTGCAAGGCATCCTTCTTGGAAACATACATTTCTGAACAAGGAGTCTTCCTTAACACAAACAGCTAGAACAAGAAGAGGAGTTGGTATGACAAATGACATGCAGTTGAAGAAGTAAAATGGAGTTCTGTGACATCATTGTTTAAATTCTGTGGGGGGTGCTAGGGTGGGTGGGGGAGGGTGAACCTTTAAGCTTGTTATCTTCTATAAACTGTGGCTGACTGTAAAAATTGTATATTATTTACTACTTACTGATGTGATAAGTAATATGCTTTTGACCTGTGACTTCACGTCCAAATTACCTCCTCTTTTTTGCTTTATCACCTTTAAGCATTCGTATCTTAACTTCTAGAGCAACCTCTCTTTCAATAATCTCCTATTGCTCACATGGAGGAACGACAGTTTCTTTTTTTATTCATAAAACAACGCATGATACTTTTCTTCATCCCTGCACAGTCCCAGATGATTGATACGGAAGTTAACCTTTCTACTTCACCGCAACAAATGTGGGCTATTGAAGATATGATGGCAGTAACTGTCTAAGATTGCAGTAACAGTTAAGATTGTTGGTTTTGCCCATGCCATTGTCAATTTTTGAAAACCATCTGAAATAACATTTGAGTGATGGGCTCAGTTTGATTAATTTTCTTGTCAAACCTAGCATAGATGTTGCTATTATACTGTCTTGTTTTTTGAACGTAATGGCAGTAGCTCTGCCTTTCAATTAAGAAGGGTAAAGAGGTTTATGTACAGAGCAAGAGGGGCATTGCCCCCATTAGGATTACACGATGCCTCCCGAGATATTGCCCCCTCCCCAAGCTAAAGCCCTCTTTCTTTGCTCGACATCCTCTTTTACCCTTAATGCCACTTGCATACTGTCTTTTTTTTATCATTGCTATTATACTGCTCTTGCTTTTGTTACATTTTAACAATTATTATTGTCTTAGTCTGTCCATCTGGTCATGCCTGCAAGTGTTGGTGCATCAACTCAAGATTGTGCTACCTTTTTGCTTATCGCACCAGGTGGTGGTGACTAGGTTTCTAAGTGGATGGCAGCTTTGTCCTCATACAATATTAGTATTCTAATGCACTAAGTAGTACCGATAGCTGATAGAAGGTCCGTAGTGGCATGGAAGCTTGTATGCTGCCTATCACATTATAATCTTTGGCTTATTTAATCATAGCCAAAGGAAGAAGTGCCAGCCATCACATACCTGCACTAAGCAACAGGCATTATCGACAGGATTCCAGCATATTGCTTGAGTGATCTTAGCTAGGAAATCATTGGTTTGCAAATGATTTTCTGTCCTACCTGATAGTAATACACAGCTCATGCAATCATGAGGAAGATGCTAATCTGGCAGCATTATTGTTGACATCATTGTTGCGGTTGCTGCTATTTGATCTCATATCAGATACTGTGATGCCTGGTTTGAGATTGGTTCCTCTGGGCCAATTCTCGCAGGCTTCCGTTGTTCTTCAAAGACCGCATCCTACAGTCGTTGTCTCTCAGAAACAGTATCTTATTGGCAATGGGAGCTGAAATGCAGATGGCAGCTTTTTTTTTGAAGCGCCAACCCCAGCACAGCAAACTGCTTCTTTGCAATTTGTTTTTGAATAAACTGAAGCTTCTTTTTGTAGCTGGTATGATGGAGTTTCTTCAGCTGTATCTTCTCCTTGTACAGCACTGAATTGAGACACCAGGATAAAACTTCAAGGGCTGGTTCCATGCATGATTGAGATGGGCAGAGCATGGCATGAAATGAAAGCAACAGATGTGGGTCATGCTCATGAAGGAGATAGGAGGATCACTACTACATACACTGAGACCATGATCAGCCTATATGCTATTGTTCTTTTGTCTTGATGACTTTAAATCCAGGAGGTCATCAGATGGGCAGGATTGGTTGTCTGCCTTTATTAGCTGGCATTCGATCCACCATCCATTACGGCATGAAGTGTGTATGGTATCAGTTGCTACCTATACCCACAAAGGAGTGTCTGATAGAGGAGCTTGTGGAGCTTTGGGCTGGATGGTTATGGCAGCATCAATCAGTATTGTCAGGGACTCCATACTTTAGTCCGTGATACTCTGAATCCCAAGGCTGTGGCATGATCCCCGTGATCATGCACAGTAATGAAGGACGTGCTTGACCATCTAGTCACACAGCCTAAGAGTCAAAGTTACCGTTGACAGTTTGACACCACGGCTATAAAAGCGATTGGCCATTCACGCGGAAGGCAAGATTATGACGACACCTGATGTCGAAGACGAAGACTTGTTCATCAGTAGCAGGTGGATTCGGGGAGGTGCTCGGGCGCTGGGAACACGCGCTCGACGAAACCGCGGGTCAGGCCCGTTTAGATGCGATTTTTTTTTTTGCTTTTAGCTACTGTAGCACTTTTGTTTGTATTTGGGAAAAATTATCTAATTATGGACTATTTAGGCTTAAAAGATTCTTCACGTCAATTACGGGCAAACAGTGCAATTAGTTATTCTTTTTTACTTACATTTAATGCTCTATGCATATACCGTAAGATTTGATGTGACGGAAAATCTTGAAAATTTTTGGATTTTGGGTGGGATCTAAACAGGGCCTCATTGTTGGCCTGCTTTTTATTTGTTGGACCAGAAACCAAGAGGCGCACGGCCGCAGCAAAGCGTCCAGAAGAATGCCTCCATGCGAGGTTTTCCCATCCGTGCGTCGCAATCAGTCACAGCTGGAAACACGGCAAGCTTTCGCACTAGAATTAGAATTCGAATTCTTTTGCTTGCTCTAGCTAATCATGCAAGTTTCCGGCCCAACTCCCTCAGCTTGGAAGCAAACAATGCCTAACTGGCGCGATCACGACATTTCAAAAAAATTGCTGTAATTTGTGCACTTCATTTCAGTTGTTGGGACAAAACTGGGACGGGATGAACGGATTCATTACAGCAGCAGTAAAACGACAATGAATGTAATAGCAATCTCATTTTTACAGTGGCTAACCAATCAATCAACTGAACGGACGAAGGGGAGGAAGGAATTGTTTGTAGCAGCGATCTCGCTCACCGTTCACACGCACACGCCCGCGGAATCGTCGAATCTATCCATCCAATCCAAGATGAAAGGGACACCTTCTTTTTCTGAGATAGTTTCGACACCCTTCCTTTGACCAATCAACCAGCGTTCCTCCTCTGCTCCGATCCGAGGGTCCACGGTGGGCGGTCAGGTCAGGCCCGGCCGGCTCCGTCGTGGGGCGGCAGCGGCGGCGGGTTGAAGAGCGGTGGCGCGTCGCGGCCGCCGAGGTCCATGGACGACTTGGCGGAGGCCGGCGGGGCGACGAAGCGCGCAGAGAAGTCGCGGTAGCCGGTGTAGTCGCCCTCGGGGCTGGCGCCGTGGCCCTCGTCGAAGTTGAGCGCGTAGCTGAGCGCGTCGTAGTTGAGCTTGCGGCCGCTGAAGTGGTGGTGCGGCCGCGTGGGTGGCCCGCTGCGGCCGAACCGCCGGATGAAGGTCTTCCACCGCGGGCCGGCCACCAGCTCCGACCACTCGCGCACCTTGAGCACCGCGTCCACCGCGCGCTGCCACCAGGTCTCCTCCGCCGCCGCCGCGGCGCCGCCGCCGACCCGCTGGTGGGAGGAGGAGGAGGCGGGCCAGGGGAAGCAGCAGCACCGGCGGCCCCGGCGCGCGAAGAAGGCCGCCTCCGCCTCGTCCATGCCCGCGGCGTCGGTGTCCATCGCCCGCCGGAGAGTCGTGCGGCGCGGGCCCGGAAAATCCTCCCCTCCTGCGTTGGCTGGCTCAGGGGCCGCGGCGCGCGGCGGCTGGAGTTTTCGGGTGGATCTTTTTGGGGGCTCTTGGCCTCTTGGGCTGCGCCGTGTGCGGGGCAGTGGGCGGGGGTGGTTTTTATCGGGTGGTGGTTTCGACGCGGCCGTGGGTGGTGGAGTCAACGGTTGGCGCGGCTCGCTGACGTGGGCCGGGAGCTGCGGGCCCGGGGGCCTCACAACGTTCGCAAGCCCGCCGCGCTTACTTTTTCTCTCCAGACTCTTATAGCGGATCGTGCAGGCAAGTGAATTTCTTCTTGGCATCGTGCAAAACATGGCATCGTCGGTCATGGCATGGATGGGGTACTTGGATTTAGCCCTAAATAAACTTCTGAAAATAAATTGCAGGAGCACTTCAGAGAGAAAAAATACATGCGAGTTGGTCCATCATAATAAAAACATAAATTCACACCATATTGTTCTCGCTGATGTGATGTGATTATCAGAAGATGCCAGCTGTTTCTGTGTACTAGTACTAATATTCCTGCATTTACGTGACCACATGTGGATGCAGCAATTGCCTGGCCGTCATCGTCTCATCGACCGTGCGCCGTGCAGGAGGGAGCCCCCGGCGTGGGGCGGAGTGGATTGGAAGGACAGCGCGGGCACAGATCGCCGACGAAGCTGGCGGTTGCGCGGCTCGCGTCGGTACAGGTACAGTTGTTGTCGCCAGGCTCGACGTGACATTTGCATTTTGTCATCCCTGCCCTGCTGATACCGGGACGTGCCAACTGGTGTCATCGCATGCAGCTACGCGAAGCCAGGCGCCGACGTTTGCACACTGCATTATTGAATGGGTTAAGTCCAATTTACCCTCAACTTGCAACTGAATTCAAGTTCGGTTGATCTCGAACTTCAAAACCCGAACAACTTCAGCCTCTAAACTCTTGAAAAAGTTGACTTTCAACTTTCAAAATACAGGGCGGTTTTGCGGGTAATTTTGATAACTTTTGATATTTTTTTTAGGATCACGCCAAAATTTGTTTTATCGCGTGATGAGATCTCAAATTTCAAAAATAGAAAACCCTTCAATACGATGTTGATGAAGATAATTTTTATATGTAAATTGTATAAAATTATCGAGATATACAACTTTGTAGTTTTGAGTTTTTTCATTTGAGGACAGTAAGATGCTCAAAAAAATAATATAAAATTTCAGCACCATATTTTATCGCGTGATAAGACTCAAATTTTAAAAAATAGAAAACTCTTCAATATGATATCGGATGAAGATAATTTTTATATGTAAATTGTAGACCTCGATAAGATCTACAACTTTGTAGTTTTAAGTTTTTTCATTCGAGGATGTTAAGATGCTCGAAAAAATAATATAAAATTTTGGCGTCTCCCGAAAATATCAAAAGTTACTGTTCACCCGCAAAACCGCCCAGAATGTTGAAAGTTGAACTTTTTCAAGAGTTGGAGGGCCAAAGTTGTCCGGTTTTAAAGTTCGAGGTTGAAATCCGAACTTTGCTGCAAGTTGGAGGGTATAAATTGGACTTAACCCTTATTGAATAGCATGCACTGGCAGTGCCTGAACTGTACTCCGTATGTGAGTGAATAACTGAATACACCATAGTCCACACGTGACTCATTTGGCTTATGCTAATACTTATGCTGAAATATTATGAGAGAAAAGCGTTGTTCCATAGCTGAAAAGTAAAGTAGTGCTGAATAAGCTCAGGCAGACGAACAGGACATTAAAGTGCCAGAGCCCAGAGAGATGGGTTCGGGTTCCTTCTTTCTGCAGCGGATGAAACACTCGCATAGGCCCATACCAGATCTTTCCTTGCCATAACTCTAGATCCTCTCCTTCCTGTCTCAGAACAAGATTCGGTTGTTCTCTAGTGACGTGGTTTCGATCTTAAAAGTTAAAACTGACAGCAGGATACGAATTTTGATTTGCGACCGCCATTACTAGAGAAGGCCTTTAGCTCAGGACAGTTAACTGTGTATCATGGAATAGCTGGCTGTCTCTGATCTGCTGCTTACGCATCATTACTCAGATAATGAAGCACCATGACGGTGCGCCATTCAGCAATTCAGGTATGCCTGATTAAATGGATCAGTAAATAAGTGACTCAAGTTGAGCAATAGGGAGATGGGAAATCGTGTCCGCCGCAGTTGAGAAAAATAGCCCAGAGACTCGCCGGACGACTGGTGGCAACTTCCACCGTGTGGGTGCGCGTCGGTATCCACACGATTGCTTTCTAGCAAAGTCTTGGACCGCAGAGGTCGGTCTTCCCGGTGTTATGTGGTTTGTTACGCGTCTGAAGTTTGATTGTCTGAACTCTAGAAGTCTTAGGCGCAACAAGGCCCATACGCTGATCCTAAGCAAGGCCTGCATCGAATCACCCCAAGTACAGAATGATGCAGCGGAGCAGCCCAAATAGTCCGCAGCGCCTCATCAGTTAGCTGTGAGACCTGTGATTTGCCAGACAACTTGCCTGTGCTTAAGAAGGGCTATTTCTCAGCCTTGTCTCTTCCAAAGTCACAGGATCAATTTGCATCCACATGCTCAACTTCTTGTTATCGGCTTGCAATGATGCAGAGCAGCAATTCTCTGAAGAGCTCCCCGTTTACCAATCAAAACAGGGATGCAGAGCTGTATATTTTCAAGCTTGATTTGTATAGATATCATCAAACTTTAAAGAGGAAACCTCATTGGTGGATTTGTATAGATGTCATCAAACTGTTCTGTTACAAATAACATCTGTCAAAAAGAACCCAAGCGGATATTTTTATCTTGCTCTACGGTTCCCTTGAATAGCAAAGTATAACTGAAAGAATTGTTCAAGAGCTGGGCACAGGGACCAGCAAAAAACTGTAAACTGCAATGATGAAGCAAGGTACTTACAGAACATAACAAATGCGCTTCTACTTGTTCCCTTCCCCTGCATCGAATCCATCAGTTCAATTTATTAACCAAAGTACTGAAAAATATCATTCTGGAGACTTAAGTGAAAAAGATATGGTTAATTTGAAGCCACGACGGGAAATAAGAAACTTTATAATGTTCTCCATCAAATGGCTACATACAAATGAACCTACAATGCATAGTGGTGTTGAAGAGAACATATAAATGGCCAAACACAAAGCCCAACAATACGAAAATGGTACCTACTGCCACGCTTTGATAGCTAGGCACCTATCCATTCTCCCCCACTTACACTAAAATCATGAATACGACGAGGGAAATAACGTGGCATCTTTTCCAATCAGGTATGCTCACATTTGCTCTAACAATGGATTTTTCAGCTAATCTAAAAGGACGATGCTCTCCGCAAACCATTTATCATGGATACATCAGTGCCTTACTTTTCCATGATACTTGAACAACAATCGTTGCACAGAAATTGTGCATAGAAGAGCCTATTAGGATACCCCAACTAAAAGGCTTTGTTGTTGTCGTTGTTAGAGAAGGAAATACTGCAATTTTTCAAAGAAACAAATGGAAAACTGGATCGATCATTTTCAATAAAAATGGAAGTGGAAAAATAAGGTGTCCCTTCCCTCCCAGGAAAAGGAAATATTTGCAGAAGGGGTGGAGGTCCGATCATTAGATATCTCTGATACATTAAAATTTCCTATCAGATAAAGAAGGAAGAAACTATATAGTAAATTACAGGATTACCATTTGAGAGGAAGTAGTCTGTAACTCAGTATCTTATGTAAGACCAAAGGCATACCAGATTTGCTTGCTCAGAACAGACAGAGATCTTTGGGTTGTCAGGAAAGTTTATTGAAATAATGGGAAGGCAGACTTTTCATTATTATTATGTTCTCTACTTAATTTTGAACATCAAACTATTACGCTGCAGAAGATCAGAAACCATACAAAAAGAACATTACTTAATTTTGAACATCAAACTATTACTCTGCAGAAGATCAGAAACCAGACAAAAAGAACATTCAGTCATAGGTTGGTATAGTACCATTCTACTGCATCATTAGTATAGTTCACCATAGTAGAACATAAGAACTTACAGTAAAATGGAGATGGAACAGTGATGAGGCGTTATGAGTAGTAACCTCACATAGGTTTCCACCATAGCAATGCTAGGGAGAACCTTTAAAAAGAATGCAGAGGTAAAAATGAAAATCAATAAATATTTGGTTACAAACATACATTTCTTATGGTGCGGATACTTCACTAGAAATCTGAACACTAAAGATGATTTCACAAGGTGGAAATAAATTGCTTCAAATAATGTAAGTAAACCTATGGCGATTTGCATATACATAAATTGTTAGCTAGATTCTTTAATGTGATATATTGGGTATTATAGTAATATTCGAATCATACCCTGGATGTAAATACATAAACAAGTGAGTGTTAGTTAGATCCACATGAGCGCTTGCAAGACCAACTAAAAAAGGTAGACAAGGCTTAAAATAGATAAATAGAAGGAATCAACTTAGGAACTTAGGTCTTGGCAGCAATTCATGTTTGGATGGTGTTTCTACCTGGCCAAGAAAAATGGTCTCTTCAAGCTGGAATGCAAGCCTCAGACAAAGATTGATAGACATTCCAGAAAGAAATGCCATTGACATAGACTAAGTTGCACGCATCATCATTGTTCTTTCATTTGACTGCATATTGGGCCCTTGAATTAAATCTGCTATTCGAGCTGACATAAACCAGACATTAATGCTTCACAAGCTGGTTGTGCCAAAGTGAAGGAGAGAACCTAGAACATCCTTGTCGCCCTCTCACGAATATATGTCCACCTGATTTAAGCTGCAGCAATATTTTTTCTTGAAGACAGCTGCAGCAATATTATTTTTTCTTGAACACAGCTGCAGCAATATTGTATATCCACAACTATTTCTATGGCATTCAATTGAAACAGAGAACAACATGGCACAATGCTTGGGAACAGACCTAGCAGTAGCTCTCTCAATCAGAGAACGTC